GTGCTTTGGGAATCGGGCCGAAATAGTTAGAGATCCTATACTTGCGATAGTGGAATCCAATAATCATCATGATGAGACAATCGTCACTTTAAGGTATTTTCTATAGGCAATTGAACTTAAGCTCAGTAGTCCGGTGATGAGATCATTGGACTCTACGTTTGTGATTTGATCCCAACGAATTCGTCTTATGAAAATGGGACTTAGAGGGTAATACACGTTGAAGGGCAAAGAGGTCATTTTATCGATTTCAACATGTTGACGGTCAAATGGGGGTTGACTTGTGGAACGATAATCGAAGGATATTGTTATCGAATTATAATTTGCTTCCATAACTATCACTCGACTCGAGAATGCAACTCGATTTTTGGGTAAAATAAGTTTGGGATTAATAAATGTATCTCAATTGGTCAAGAGTTGACCCAATTAAATATTTATTGGAGTTTGAGTCTTGTGAGTCCGATTAGGTCCCTCTCTTGGCTCTAATAATGATGTATGACTTAATTGATATACTACAATAAAGTCCAAGGAAATTTGTGCAATTATGAAACCCTAATTGAGTATTATAAATATGCCCTTTGTGGGAACATTTCTCAAGTTTTAGGGTTAGCCACATTTTCATATTTCCTAAAAGAGATGCACCTAAAGAGAACGAGGAAGAAGATCTAAAGGAGAAAGTACTTGGCTAGGCCATTAAAAACTCCTTCAAGGTCATCATCTCACCCTTATGTGTGAAGATTTAAAAAAATTCAATGATCTCAAGGTGATCTAAGATTTATTATTCAATTGGGTTTAATCTTCAAAGGAAAATTAATTTCCTCTTGTGATGATTAAATTCTAGTATAAAATGCATTATTATGAGTTGTGTTAGGTTATTTCATTTGACATGCACTATACCAAAAATGACATTTTGCAACACGCAAAAGGCAACATTCGTTGATTAAATGTTGTTAAAGGAGTCTATTGCAACATTTTAGCAAATGAATGTTGCTATTGGTTAGCATAATTGAGCTTTCGCAACAATTTTTAAATAAATGTTGCTTCTATTTTACAACATTTCATAAATGTTGCGATAAGTTTGAGTTTTTCCAACGTTTTTTGAACGTTGTTGAAATCTGGTTCTATAGCAACGTTGAGGCCTTGTTGTTGAAACTCTCAATATAAAGTCTTTTGCAACGTTTATTGACTGTAGCGAAAAGATCACTTTTTGCAACATTTTTTTATTGTTGCGAAAAAATTAATTTTTTGCAACGTTTTTTGAAAGTTGCGAAAATTTAACTTTTGATAACGTTTTTTGAATGTTGCGAAAAGTTCACTTTTGGCAACATTTTCTAAACATTGCGAAAAGTTTTACCTTTTTTCCCAAATTAAATTATATACGAGGTCAAATGATAGAAACCAAAAATAACCCAAACCCTACGCTCCATTCACGCGTCTCTTCTTCCGATCTCTTTTAATCCCACCATTTCCATCGCCTTCCACTTCTTCCTTCCACGGCCTCTCACTCAAAGCCCCACCACCAGTCCATACATGTCCTTCTTCGCTTCCGCCATTGTCGCCTCCGCCACCAAGAAGGCCGTCGACGGCAAATTGCTTAACTAAATCGAACACTGCAATGGAAGATGTCCCCAAACCTAAAAAACCCACATTGGAATTCCTTACAAAGAAGCCTTACGTGACCCCTTCAGGGGCCTCTCGCCTTAAGCCTATTTTAATATCTTTTCACTTGGCCATGTACGTATATTTGTAGATGTTGATGTTAATTGTTGAATTTTCTGCTTAATTTGAGTGACTGAACATTTTTGTTCTTGGTTTTTTTTAATATTTTTCGCTCCAAGCTCAAGGGGAACCTCCCTAACTTGCCCAAGGGAACACATGTTTATCTCAAGGTACAGATAAAAGCATTTATGTGAAGGAGGAAGACGAGGCTCCGAGGCCAAGAAGTGGCCTGACAACTTTCTAACTCTATACAAGATAAATATGGAAAACCTATATTGCTTGGAGAGCAATCCTAGGATATACATGGACTAGAATAATTACAGGATATACATACAAGAATACACGTAGACTAAATAAGGAAAAGATATATGGATTGACTTGGACGTCCCCTTAATTATCCCATTATGCCCCCCCTCAAGATGGAGAGTGGTAACACTCCAATCTTGGTATGCAATAATGCATGTCAAGGTCCAAGGAGTGGCTTTGTAAGGGCATCAGCAAGCTGATCGGAGGAGTTAATGTAGGTGAAGTGCAGCTTCCAAGCTTGCACTAATTGGCGCACATAGTAATAGTCAATGGCAAGATGCTTCATCTTGGAATGAAAGATGAGATTGGCAATGAGATAGGTGGCTCCAAGGTTTTCACAATAGATGACAGGGATGGAAGTGGAGGACAAGCCAATCTCGCAAAGTAGGGAGAGGAGCCATTGAAGTTCAGCAGCAGTGGAAGCGATCAAGCGATATTCATCTTCAGTGGAAGAAAGAGCTATGGTGGACTGTTTCTTAGAGCTCTAGCTAGTAGGCTTGTTGCCAAGATAAACGAAAAAAGGCTCCATTGAGGACCTATCTGCAAGATCTCCTGCCCAATCTACATTTGAAAAGGCATGAAGGGAAAAGACAGCAGATCTGTGTATTTTTAAACTAAAGTCAATGGTACCACATAAATAATGCAACCTTTCACATAAAGTATATCTGAGATAGCAAGTAATCCAGATATATTAACTACACATTTACCTAGTATAGGTGCAGTAGCCCCATCTCCAAAGGTAACAACACCACCATTCCAATCATCGAGAGAAGAGAACAAGGCTTTGTCACCACACATATGTCTAGAACAAGTACTATCCAGATACCACATAGAGTTATTTTGAGCCTTAAGTGTAACGTGGGTAACATAGTTATTCAGCTGATCATCTAATCTAGAAAGGTCACTCTTCTTAACACAAACATTCTTAGAAGTGGAAGTGATCCTAGTTAACCGAGTCATCATCTTAGTTAAATGGCTAACATGATTAGCGAGGAAGTTAACATTGCCAGAGAAATCCTAACTTTTACTTCTAGTCGCGAGTTTACGACACCTAGGCCTTGTGTGTCCCAATGCGTCACAATGGTGACAAGTGGGAATAAACCAAGGTTCAAACCTACTCGGAGGTTGTTGGCGATATATAGGACGATTGACCTTACATTGTCTAGTAGGTCTTGATCCAAAGACATACGTGCCCTTGGGTTTAGGATTTACAGCATTCCGAGCTTTGTTGGTGGTTGGGATGAACGTGGTCTTAGATGTACTAGCAGTAGCATTACTATTTTGAACGTAACCCAGACGATGCCTATTTCCAGCAGGCTTGTTCATTCCCAACACATTATCAAGTTTCTGCGTACTATTCATGAACGAATGAAGTTGAGTATTAAATTTTTCGAGATTACTTGTTAAAGATTTAACTTTGGTTTCCTAGTTCTCATTAACAAGCTTCAACTCATTCAGATTTTTAGTAGAGCCCTGCAGGTCACCTATAAGTCTCTCTCTCTCTCTCTCTCTCAAGTTCATTCACCTTTTTCAGCACAACTTTATTGACCTTTTTGATTTTAAGACCCTTCTCGAATAATTCTCGATAAGACTCATGAATGTTAGTCTCATCGTCATACTCTTCCTCTGATTTTTCACTACGTTGTTCATTTTCTACTTTTTCACTTTCCTTATCGAATTCAATCGTAGCTATTGATGTGAAGGCCGTTAAATTTTATTCATCTTCACCACCAAAGGCATCACTCTGAGCACTCAAATCCGATTCATCATAACTCAAAGTCACTACTAAAGTCTTACGCCTACCTTTATTCAAGTTCATCCTTAAATTAGGACATTTATTCCTATAATGACCAAAAACCTGACATTCACAACATCTTACAAATTGGATTTTCTTATCAGCAGACAGCAGTCTTAGAGTTAATCTTCTCACGCTTATCATTCGAAAATTTACTAGGGACTTCATTTATCCGTTCTTGAGGCTTTCTCATATTTCTCATCACCTTCTGGAATTTTTTAACAAAGTAAGCTATTTCGTCGTCTCTAAGTGTCTCAACATCAGTAGACTCGCTCTCTTCTTCTCTAACAGTGTTCATGACTATGGATTTAACCTTTTTCCATTGAGATATGGTGAGTTCATGTGTTTATAGGGATACTATGAGTTCTTCTATCTTAACTGCACCCAAGTCCTTACTTTCTTCGATCGCGGTAACTTTAGGTCTAAACCTTTCAGGTTGGGATTTAAAGACTTTTCTAACGATTTTAGACTCGGGGATCTTCTCTCCTACGTTGAAACTAGAGTTTTGGAGATTGTATAGTAAAAGAGTAGGAAGAATTTTGAATTTACGTATAAAATTATTCTATTGGAAGAATACGTGAAAAAAAATGAGTTACGGAGAAAATTAAGTTTTTAAATGATGAGGCTCCAACAGGTGCTGAATCTTTTTTAAACTGGTCCAAACCGCTATTATCTTGTGAAATTTGGGCTAAATGGCTGCTGTAGTAGACTGGCCCTGGAAACATCTGAGAGATGACTAATTTATATAATTTCCCCTAAATAAAATCTTGTTTTTACAATTATTTAAATTAGATTTAAAAAAAATATTTTATTTAGAGCAAATTTCATGAACTTTCCAGGCCGTTGTATAAATCTTCTTATTTCACTCGCCCACTACAACTTATTAAGAGGTGTAGTGTAATCTCTTATACTTAATTTTTATTTACATACCTAAAAGATTTGAAATTTACCCATCAGAAAATTAATTAGTCCCAAGTTAAGTTCCACGTTTTCCTCCTGAATTTGTATTTTATTTTTATCTTCAGTAAATATATTTTACTTTTATCTTCAGTAAATATATACTTTTACTTTGTCGTGGTTAATTTAATTAAAAAGACAAAAGAAAAATGGGAAATTTGAAAACATTTCAATTAGGAACTTTATTTTTTTCTAATTTTTTTGGTAAATTTTGTTTGTCTGCACAATGTGCAGCACATTGTTGGATCCGACAAGTTGAGAATACACCAGTTCTGTGGACAGCAAAGAAGAATAAAAAAAAGGGAAAAGATAAAAAGAAAAAGTAAAAAATAATAATAATAAAATAATAATGTACCTTACTTAAGCACAGGGTAATACCATAGAGTGCATGTATAAAGACTGCTTGCCATTCTTGATGATATTAATCGCATATTTACAACTGTTCTTCCTCGTGAGAGAAAATGACAGAATTAGAGTCAAGTA